TAAGATAATTATAGTTATTACACTATTAGATATTAAAGAAGCATTGGCCTAATCCTTTAAGTTAAAAGAAATAACATTTTGTTTTTTTTTTAATTTCTATATAAATCGAAATATAAATTAATCCATTTTTGTAGTTAATTTCAAAATAAACAACGTCCATATTGACGTATGCACTTGATAAATAATAAATTTAATTTGAGTCAAATATAATACATCTTCTGCTAAACTTTATATTGAGTTATAAAATATATAATAATTATATAATAATTATATTTATAATTCTACCAAAAAATATCGATACCACAAATGTCTGTAAATTGTAGTTAAATTATAATAATAGCAGTTACTTTTTTTCTAAATGTAAATAAACTAAATTGATAAATTTAAACTAGTATCATTCTTCTTTACAAGTTTCAATTTAATTAATTAACTTATATAGTATAGCATTTTTGCAATTAAAGATATTATATATTAAAATTAAGTTTATTTTAAAAATTATCATCAACGAGATTTCATAACTCATTCGTGTTTCAGAAAAATCGTAGAAGAAGGAGTGACAAAGTCTTCGACGGAGTCCAACCGTGGAAGCGTTAGCTCGCATAATGGATGTCCACAACGACGGGAAGGAGGATGAAGAGAGGAGAGGGAGGGCAAACGACGAAGAGCACGACTACTATGAGAGAGGAGGCGACATCAGGGGGCGATAAGGAGCCGGCAGAACGGATGGAGGAACTCCCCGGCGAGCGGGCGGCCGGAGGGAAGGAAGAGAGGTGGCAGTTAGGATATGAATTATGACGTGGTGCGAGCGAGAAAGACGAATCGAGTCGGTCGTTACGAGGCTCGAGAAGGGAAGCGCGAAGGCCTGCCGGCGAAGTAAAAGGCAAAAAAAAGTGCCGTCCGCAACGATATACGGTATTGCGGGAAGAAAAAAGGCAGTCCCCGCTAAACGAGCGCACCCCCGACGATGACTGTGACGATGACGACGACGACGAGTGACGAGGAACGTGCTAACCGCGACGAATGGCTTTCGAGCCGGTATATACCGAACGGAGGGAGAATTCAGTACCAAAAATCAGTAGGTTGTACATATGGATGTGTAACCAGCGCTGGTGGGAAGTCCGTATAGTACTGAGATCGTTTGCCATCGGCAACCAACCGCGACTTGTCGGCGTCGAGCATGGCAACTTGAGTTTTGCGCGAGAACCTCTCAACCTTTTTTTTGTACACTGAGAAAAATGTTCTGGTTAAATCAACAAAAAGAAACGAACTAGAATGGTATTGTGAAGCCAAACAGAATTTCTGGTTATGGTAACCAAAATTAATTGTGCCTTTCAATCAACATATATTAAGTAGGTTTTACAGATGCACAGCGTCAGAATCTGTGTTACAGATTTTGACGTCAACCGCAGAGAGTTAATCAAATGTAAATGAAATGGGGGGTAAAAAAAATTGGCCATTTCGTTGGCGTTGGAATTGCTGGCACCATTCATTCTTTCCACCTGCATTCCATTAATGTTATTAATATTCTTGTCTTATCTTATTGCCCGCAACTATTTCAGTGTATCCCTGCTCGTATATCCCTGCAAGCTCATCAACTATCTCTCCGGTGCGGTCTTTTTAATATATCGCCGATTCCGATCTTGTCAACAACTGTAGCCTCCTTTTTCACCGAATCTCGGGGGGCTTGTCTCACATTCTAAACAAGTCGTATCTACCTATCCATCTACCATGCAACATCCGCCGTCGCGCGCTCGACTGCATTTCTACGTCACTAACGCGCATTCCACGATGCACCTCTGTCCTTCTCCATCTCCTTGCTCTTGTTTGACCGCGGCGCCCACCGTCGACGTTCGCGATGATCGCCCGCTGCTTCCTTTGCTCTCCCTCTATCCCGTCTTTTACATTCTACCCCGTCTATTTTCGAACTCGTTGAAAAGCCATGGCGACAGCACTTTTGCACGCGCCGCCATGTTGGCGAACGCTCATCCTGATGTGTCAGGAAAATTCAAGGACTTCTCGCTAATTTGTCGTATTCTCTTTTCTCTACAACTTTTCTAATACAGATTACTAACCCTAATTGGCATTTGTGGGCCCAGTAGACCCAGAAATCTTCTTCAACTACATGTTAAGAAATGTTGTTTGTAAAAAATGTTTTTCACAAGTTTACTTTAATTTTAAGTTACATAATTCTATTCTACATAAATCATTCTAAAATTATTGTACATTAATATTTTAAGTAGAAATGTTTTTATTTAAAGTAAAGTCCACATTAAATTGCGACTGCGAATATGATGACAGTTAAAGAAATTTCGGAGCAAATACCGATTAGTGTTAATTAGTAATCAGTGAAGAAATTGAAGGGAACGCCGATTGAAGCACGAGAAATTAGAGAAAGCTAACACGAAAGAAAAACTTTATATCAATGTGAAATCCTCCGGCAAATCTGCCAACAGTCATAACAAGTTGCATGAAACGTCTCTCTGCAGGCCGTGACTTCCGCTCAGCACGAATTGGCAATGAAAGAACGTGCTGGCTATCATCTTGAAGAAACCTCGACGATCGGGATGACGATCGGTCGACGATATTCGACTCTTCAGGAAGATGCGAAGTAAAGAGAGAAAAGAAACGGCGACACACGGACGGACGGAAGAAGTTCGGAGGCGACGAGGAAACCGCAAAGAACGATAATGACGAGACGAGAGGACGCAGAAAGCGAGAGGCACAAAAGAGAGAACGCCGTGGAAGAGAAACTGGCCCGAGGTAATTGCCGGGGCGTCTCTTCGCACCTCATCATCATCATCAACAGCCGCGTTGCCCTCGTCGTCGTCGTCGTCGTCGTCGTCGTAGCCGTCGAGAGTTCCTGAGACCACCCGTTAGAGTCACCGACGCCGTCGGTTTTCGTCTGCATCGGCAGACGAAGCGTGCTGTCTTCGTCAAAAGCTTCGTCAAAAACGACAGTCTAAGCGAAGCGTTTCGCAATGGTCGGACAACACGGATAATGATCGAAGGATACCTGATACTTGCACGAGAGACACTTAATTATATCAAGTCACGCTAGATTTGGCGGATCGTTGCACTGTTTCCTATCATTCTAATTAAAGCTTACCGTCACATACATTTTGCGTATGTTAAAATTATCTATCCGAAAAGCATCCAAGATATTCTTAATATTTCCTTAATGGGGAAATAATAATAAAAAGTATACAATATTTGAAATTCCAAATAAATGTTACACGCATGAAATAATTAATTTAAATAAAACACAAAAGAAATGATTTACGTGAAATAGAAAGGCAATCTTTTTACAGCATATTTTTTTAACATTTTTGTTCTTGAAACAGAAACAAGTGGTCAGATCGCACCATGAGATTATCCTTCGCAATTATTTGTCACAAATTGCTCTTTAAGAATTAAAGCGAAGAATTTCGCCCGAATCGAACTCAAGCTGTGCGATGTTCTCCCTCTGAAAAAAAAAGCACGTCATCCCTCAAAAGAGGATCCACGACCGCCGTGTTGCTTCTCGCGGCAAGAAGAAGAGAGATCGATTAAACGGGACCGGGATAAGCATCGGAAACGATGCCAGATAGTTGTCCGTTGTCGCCTCTGAGGATCATAGATCTTACCTACGTCGAGGTCCGAAATTCCAGCCGCCGTTGCGGCACGGAGGGGACGACGAAACTGAGCCTGCTCGACGGCACGGCGGCGGCGGTGGAACGAGACGCGCCGCGACGCTCATGGAATGCGAACGACGCTGACCTGGACCACACATGACGCCGCGGTCGGCTTTAAACGACTATCGTGAAATACGATAATGCCCCGTCGTTCTCGTGCGCTGAACACGGAATCTGAACTTGGACACGGAAGACGGCTCGCCGAGAGGTCGAGACTACTACTGGCACACGCGGCGTTTTCCTTACGATCGTTTCGACCGTTGCAAGTGTGCTTTTTGGTAGTTGCATGCGCTCTAATCTAAAACAATGACGAGACTATTTGAGGAGTATCGCGTTCCTAGTATACATCTGCTAATAACAGAACTGCTTGTTCTGTGTCACATACTACTTGATAAATCTCGAAGAATATCGCTCTCTTACTTTAAAACTGACGTGGCTAAAAAAATTGTAAGGTTCTTACAAAATTAGAAAAACTGTTTTTCAATTTGATAAAAAGTTATTGATTAATCAAAATATTATATCAGCAAAATGAATATATTCTTAACATGATTAAATATTATTTTTGTTACTTTTTCGATTCATAACTTTTGAAAAATCACCCTTCTTGAGTTGGGAAATACATTTTCATATAAGTTTTAAAATAGAACATCATTATACCAAAGAGTTAATCACAACGGAAGAACGTTAAGTAATATACGCGCTGAAAAAAATGATGTTGTATCAACAGTATTATTTTAATTGAAAATAATCTTATTAACAACACAGTATTAATAAGACAAATCAAATTTTATTAAATTTTATTAAAACAAGAGTATGGAATTAATAAAATTTTAAATTAAAATAATGCTATTGATACAATATTATTTTTTGTTCAGTGCAGATTATAAAAAAAAAAAAGATAAAACTACAAAATATTCCGTGTAATATTTTCAATACACAAAATAAGAAAGAAACGAATGATTCTCTCAATAAGTAAGTAGCGTATCCACGATACGCACTCTCGATACGCTAGAGTAGCATATCTACGGCACTCGTTAACGTTGACGTATCCGCGAGGTGTTACGCCAGTGTGTCTTCGCACGGTCGCTCGTTCTCGACAGAAACGATTATCGAGGATGAAAGAGAGCCGCGGCGGGCGAAATGGAGGAACCAGTCCCGTGCGGCCGAGATGTGGTGAGACGCGGAGGACCGGAGGCGACCGGACGATCGGACAGACGTTACGGGCCGTGCTAAGGAAAGACGAAGCGTGCGGGGTGCGAGAAAGAGAGCGAGCGGGCAAAAAGAAAGGCAGGAATGCACAACGGTAGCGAGAAACAAAGTGAAACTTACGAGCTGATTCTGATAGGCGGTGACAGCGGTGAATATAGCCTCCGGGAATATGAAGGTCTTGTGCGGCTCCTTCTCGAGGTCCACTATCGGCTTCGTCGTGCCCGAGTCTGGTCGCTTCACCAGGTGGATCCTCGGTTGATACTTGTGCATGGAGTTCAGCACCAGCTGAAAATTAACCCAAACTAACTGTAGACTCAACGTACAACGAATAGTGTGTAAAGTCACACAAGAAAATGAAATGTTGATGTACGAGTGATTTTACAACGGAGATTACATTTGCATTTAAAAAGAATATCATTATGTTTGTAGAGAGATACACTGTTAAAGTCACAATGTCAAATTATATCCAATTTAAGTTATTTTTAATCATTTCTACACTGAAAAAAAATGATTGGTTGCTGCAACAAATTTTTAGTTGTATTAACCTATCCACAATGTCAGTAGTATATGATTTTGACGAGTTGCTAACGCAACTAAAAGTAAAATCTGGTTGCTGCAGCCATGTAAAAATACTATGTTATATTTTACTATCTAAATTGTTGCAACAATCAATCTTTTCTTTCAGTGTATAGATTGCAACTGCTCAATATATTGTTAATTTAATTAAAACAAAGGAGTTAAATAATTTAACTTAAAAAAGGTATTAAATTTAACTCAAATTTATTATTTATTATATGCATACGTTAATATGATATTATTTACTTTGAAACTAAACAATTTTACCACAGAAATGAATTGATTTACATTTTGACACATATGGAAATTAATAATAATAAAATATTAAATAAAAAATTAAAGTGATTAAATTACCATTGCTCTTTTGATACCTAATACGATGCAGAAAGAATTAACTGAGCCAATTCCTTACATCACTTTAAAATCAATCAAATAAAAGGTTTGTAAATAAACGCTTGATTTTCCAAATAAATATTTCCTTAGGAAGAACTTTAATAATAGTCACTTGTATAATTTAAAACACTCTTGCATTGTTAAATATTAAAAAGTCAAATTCTTTAAGTTAAATAACATTAAGTTAAATAATAAAAGTTTTGTTATTTAATTTCCAAGTACATCAAAGTGCATTATTCTAATACGAACATGTAGTTAAAAAAACAACTATATCTAATCAACTCATTTCTGTAGTGTATTTATTTTAGTTGGACTACACATTTTAGTTAAATTAACAACATTCAATAGAAGTAGTGGCGCCTACAGAAATGAATCAAAATAATTCAAATTAGATATATGTAATTTGACATTATAAATTTAACATTGTATATCTAATCTCGTATTCTAAGTTCACAATGCCATAAATATATCAGCCATTTATGATATCCTTCAATTTTCGACACGCTACGTTTTACTATTACTTATAAATCATCGTTTTCGCGACGCAAAATTTAGACGACTATTCCTTCTCAAGTCGTGTTATAATTCAACGAGACAAATGAAAATAACATTGTGTAATCGGAAGATCTCTCGACACAAAAATCGCAGGTGTCCGATTACGTCCAATTAAAGCCGTAACGAACTAACCGAACGATTCGACCCGGACGACGATGTGAATATCGTCGAACAGTTTCACGCGTTTCTTTACGCATCGCATTTTCATCCAGCCCTTATTTCGAAGGGCTACCATTAGATATTTTCAAATCGCTGACGGCTCATCTTTTCCCGGTGACGAAGACGGCGAGATTACGATCGAGTTTCACGTTGACTTTGGTCGTTCCGGGATTTGAATCGGCGACGAAGCCGAGGGTACGCGATAGCATTAACAACAACAGCGAGGATCTTCCCGGTGCGGGAAGAAAAAGCGTATGAATTAGGAGCATCTCGGGCCGGGCGCGCTCCCCGTTACCGTTCAAAAGAATCACTTTGCTCGCGTCTGGCAGCGTGTAATACCCTGAATACAAAATGAGTACCGTGAAGAAGCGCTGCCCCGATCGGCGTTCCTATTTACGTCAGTCATCCGATGAATTAAGGGCCCCGATGCGCCGGCGAGAAAGAGGAGCTCGGGCTGACAATGAAACGGTGGAAAAGGGTGGGAGGGGCGGGGGGGAACTGAAAGAAGAGCGAGGTGGGCGAAGACGCGGCTGAGATTCCCGTGTCTTATGACAAACGAGACAACGGACTGTCAAATTATCCCGTGGAGCGACTAAATCGCGCTACGATGAAATTCGTTTTATCGGCGTCATTTTTATCCTTTTTTTGTAAACGAGACGTGCGGTGGGTCGGGAGGTTGCTTGAATTTGCGGTGATGACATCCTTGATGACTTTTTGATTTTAAAGCAACGTGAGGAATTGACTCAATTAATTCTCTTTCTCTCTTTATATAGACACACAATGATATTCCTTCTAAATGCGAATGTAATCTTCATGTATAACGTTGAAAAATCACCCGTATGTCATCACTTCATTTTCGTATAACTTCACGCCTTTCAAAATTCTCATAAGCGCTTGGCAATGTCACCACTGTTGAACTTTACCAGCTGCGAACGCCTTTTATGTAAAACCAGTCGTGTCACACATTATGTGTGTAGTTATAGAAAAAGAAAATTATCCGGGGGGAAAAATGTATTTCGAAACGGTGTAAAACGTGAAAGGTAAGATAAACGCGGTGTAAAAGCTTTAAGCGACGAGGCGAAATGCCGCCGTGTTGCGTTCCACTTTGCTGAACTTTGTTGAACCTAACAATCGATGCCGGTCGACTTATTAATGCAACAACCGGAGGACGCGGTAGGCGTGCACTCGCTGTCTTCGACGCCGACAATGTCGTACTTTTAGCCGCAGCTGCGCCGAGTAACGTGTAAAAGTTTAATGCGCGAGTTGTCTCGAGACAGCTACGTCTACCCGTTCCCATCGCGAGAAAAAACGTGGAAAATTTCTTGTCCGTCAGAAAACGTCGACAGTTCGATAGAGTTCTCACATTACACGACAATTAAAGTTAGCTAAACGAGATATATGCAAAAGGATACTATTTTTTTTAATTAAGTTCTTTTTTGTAGAATTTTCTTCCTCGAGCTACAGAGATTTAGAGAATTTTTTAATTACACACAGAAGTTGATCTTAGAAGAAAATTTCTTTTCACGATAATTATATAAGTTTTAATTATAATCATAATAATTAATCACAACACTTTCATAATTACAAATATATCAAATATCATTTCTCACAAATTGAATGTAGGTAGGTATTTAAATCGACACTATTTTAAATTTAGAAAAAATATTAGGAAGATTATAAAAATTACTAAATAAAAATATTGTAAAATAATTATAATCGCCTTTCTTTTTTCATACAAAAATATAATCAATCTGTTTCTATCATTTCAATAATAAATACTTTCTAACATTTAAACTTGGAGGTAAGGAAGGAGCAAGAGTAGATTTTATTTCATTTAACTTGTCACCGCGGTTCGCAGATCGTTCGGAACGGTAGCACTTTACATTCGAGAGATCAATGCACGTTACTACGTAAACGCACAATCGAGTTATTCATCTTGCAGTTGTGAGAACTTAATAATAAAGGTCGATTTTCGCGGTGGTCTGACAAGTGTCACGGCGAATTAACCGGATGCCTCTGTGCGAGAAATAGACGGTTGAACAAGGCTTATTAATTAATTAATCCAATAAGAAACTTAACACATCCGTCGCAACGCGAATTGGAATCTGCACCTCGTCTTGCTTTTTATAGCGATCCGATATAGAAACGCCGGAAGTACAAAGATAATTCATACGAAATGATCAGCGCTGAACTGCTAAGTTTTTATTCACAGCTTCATTGAGTTTGAAAATCTAATTCAATTAGCGACACGAAACTAATACGTTTTCCGTCGTTATTCCTCTGGTCTTTACTTATTCAACATCTTTCGAAAATTGACAGAAATTATCATAGCAATTCAATTATTGTGCCAATCTGCGCGAACTCGCAGTTCAGCGATTGAGCTTAATGAGACAGGACGGGGGATGGTAAAGTTTTTCTAAAGATACTCACGTGCCCATGCCTGTCCATGTCGTTGTTAGTGAGCTTGACTTTCTCGAAGGAGACGACTTGCTTTCGGAGCTGCTCGCCCGTGAAAGGTGAATCCGGATGGACGTAGAGTCGGGCTGGCGCCGGCGGATCCGCCTTTCCGGCCACCAACCAACAGCTCCTGTGATATGCGTACCGATACCTTTTATTGTCGACCGGTACAATATCCATCAGGACCGCGTATCGACTGTCCGCCTTCAACCCGTTGAATGAGACACGACACGTCGGAAACATCCGCCTGCGCAAACACAAACGCATATCCTCGGTTAAAGAAGAGATCTGTAGAATTCGAATTAAATTTAAAACATACCATTTTTAAACAATTGCCAACTACTAGCAATTGTCATGTTTGAATTAGCGAATTTGATTTCCGCAGTTATAGAAATCGAAGTTATACAGTAAAAAACATATTTTGTATTTGTGTTAAAATCGGTCCTTGTTTAAATTTTTGGGTTAAATTTTTATATTGGAGTGTTAATTTAACATAATGTGATGGTGTCATTTGAATATAATATTTTGTGTTAAGTTGATATTCAACTTTTTAGTATTAAAAAGAACGACACAATTTATGAATAATTGAACAAATAGCATAAAAATAATAGTATTTTCAAACGTAAAATTCAAGACATATGAATAAAATATATTAATTTTTAACATATTATAAATGTTATAACTTAAAAATATATTATAGATGTTAATTTTACTGAAGAAATGCACTTCCGCAATTCGCATAGAAATAGTCAACGTTATATCGTTTATATTAAATATTTTACATAATATTTCTATTACTTCCTAACATATTCATCTTGTTAAATTAACATAAAAATTTAGATATAGACCACCATTGGGACACACGAAATGTGTTGAACTTAACACAAATATTCCAATTGTGTACAAATCTTTTAATTGTTAATAATTAATTCACGACTCGATGCAGAATCCATAAACTGTCTTCTGACAATTCCGTTATAAAGCTGCAGTTCCTAGAATAACTTTTACGACCATCAGATAAAATTAACTGAAATTGATTAATTAATTCTTCGTTTTCCGCTAATGAAACGAAACTAGAAATCTCTTTAGATATTTGTGATAAAAGAAATGTGTCGCGCTTTATCAATCAATGGATCCAGGATGATACGCGATAATTTTAGGGTTGACCCGTTCACGATCACCGAAGGGGGGGGGGGGCAAGAAGAGAATAAGCGAAGAAAGAGGGCCGACAGGGACGAGAGGGAGAGATGGGCCCGGACTGGGGATTAGTGGTAAGGGGACCGCGGGGACAGGGAACCTGGCGTGAATGTTTTGCCTCGGAGGCCAAACATTAATACCGTGTCGGGCCCCCCGCTGCTCGACCACTAAAACGCGGGGACACCCGCCGATCTTATCTACGTCTTCTCCTCGGTCCTTGTCGACTCGGTATGCATTCATCCCGCCAGCGCCACGAGTGTGAGTAATGCTTTTATTTATCAAGCCGCCTTTTGTTAATGAATTGAACGAGGGAGAAGGTGGATCCTTACCCTCGCGCCACATCACCCTCCTGCCCCTTCTTCCTCATTTGTGCCTGATTTTCAACCCTCCCCTCCCCCCCCCTCCCCCCTTTCGCGCGACCATTTTTCTCGTGACCGCGTGCACAAACTCTGAGGATGCCTGCGACTTTTTTCCCGTCGGATTAGCCACCAAATTCTCGTCCCGCCGCGAAGATGATGGCTTTAAGGATGCGTCTGAAAACTCAGTCTGAGTACCGGGAACGCAGAAATTAGTCAAAATAAGAGATACAGACAATCCTATTAATACATTTATTGTTTTTGACATTTTCAATATTTTACAGTTTCGCATTTTTGCAACAGAAATTGCATAAAGTTGCCAAGTTAAAAGATTCATGCTTAGAGCGTAAGTAAGAAAATTGAACTCTACCCTGAAAATCTCTAAAGACAGCGAGAAGCGTAATTTACGGAAGAAAGAGAAGAGGCCGCCGGGGGTAGTTCCAGGACTGCCTAGCGGAAAGTCTAAGAGGCGATAAAGGGGCGGTAAGTTGACGGCTGAAGGGAGCGTCGACCAATGTCGCTAAGACGCAGATCTAATTACCGACGCACGAGTAGGCGCGCACCCGGCTGGAGGAACGAATCCCTCGCAGAAGGGAATCTACGACGAATAAAGAGCAGGGATGTTGCCAGTCGTGGCGGGCAATTAGGCGCGCGTCGGCCGCGTCGTCCCTCCCATCTTTTCCGCCTCCTTTCTCTTCCGGAAAGTTTCTCGGTTCCTTGAGAACCTCGTCAGTGTTTTTCTGTGCGACCATCCTTGCACCCCTTGATCTTGTTAGATCATAGCCCAGGACTGGCGACCTTAATCCTACTTACGAAGACCCAACATTTTCCACCCATGAAAAAAATATTTGACAAAGGCACAAAAAAGAATTTTGATGATAATAAACTACACAGTTGGAAAATTTAAATTATTAAGTATTAAATTTAACACATGTTACGTTTTCAAACGAAATCTAGTCCACGTTGAAATTTTTATGTGAATTTAACACAAGATGATATGCTAGAATGTAACACAAACATATAATATTTTGACACAATTTGGAAGCATACGTTCTCAATGGAAAATTAACATTCATAATATATTAAATTCATCTTTTATTCATTTATTTTAGAATTTACGTTTTAAAACTACATTACGTTATTTGTTGTACACACTTATAAATTATCATACTGTGTCATTTAACACTAAGAAATGTTATATCAAATTAACAACCAGTTCAGATATACTAAAAATTAAATACAAAAATTTTATCAAAAACGTTTAACAAGTTTATATTCTACTAAAAAAAGTATAAATTGTCTGGGACGACATAGAAATAAATTTTAACTTGTAGCACAATTTAATAATCAATGAATAAACAGGATTTTAAGCCATAATTCGCTACGTTATTTTTACCTTTCTCCTGAAATAATGCCTATCGTAATTATGTCACAAAATTCTTATTCTACGATCAATTCGCCCCGTAGGACGTCACATCAGTACAAAGGACTATTCTAACTACGTCGATAGTTAACTTCGTGTCCAATGTTAGCATTTCCGTCGTTAAGTCGAAGATATATGCTTGAGAAGGTGGTATATCGCGAAGCCTCGAGACAAACCGCGAACATAAAACTTCTCGACTGCCTTCCGCGAATAGGCAGCCCCTGAGAGATCCCTCCCTGGACTTCTCCCCTCACAGTGTGATCCCACTCGAATCCTCACGCCTCTGGTCGCCACCGCTCGTCCCAAGGACCCCCTTATAAACTGGCATAAGCTCGCCCGGTTTCTACACCGGCCCGACTAATTGACTGACGGTCAATATAGCAATTTAACCCGCCAGCTTGCCACCAACTCGTTCTCCGTTTTTTATTCTTCTGCCTCCCCTCCTCTCGATCCCTTCCCCTTCCCGTCAATGGCCCCCTGCGCTCAGGTAGTCTTAACTCTTTCACAGTTTTATATTACTGAAGTGTATTTGTGTGCGGCGTTCTTATCCCTTTATTTGTACGATGTGTTGCATTATGTTACTTTCTTGTTATTCGCAATTGAATTTGTTTACTCACAAAGAGGCGAGCAAGCGGAAATATTGCACGTGTACACGTATGTTAAGCTTACATTTCATCTAGCCGATCACTCGCTGCGTTTTTATATTCCCGAACCAATTGAGAGTTTCATGTTTAAATTTTTATTATTTTCTTTCCTGCCGTTTCCGAGTTCGTGATCCATACCACGTCTATAGCTTTTTTTATATTCACCATCTCCAGCCACTTGTTAAATAACGTCGGCTTACCGCAAGATAGTTGCATCGATCTCACTAATATTCTCGCCAATTTTCTCTTTCTCTTACCTCTCTCTCGAATCAATTTTTTTAATAAATAAGAATCGATAAGATAATAGACTGTTGTGTGACAAAAAAAATTTACAGTTTTATCTTTCGTAAAACGGCGATAAAATCTGTTTCTTCACGTATTATTTATTTCATTTTTATTATTACACAGTAAAATATTTTGTATTTGTGTTAAAATAGCGATACCTGTTAAAATTTTTAAGTAATTTCTGAGTGTTACGATAAAACAATTCATTAAAAAAATAAACGAATAAAAATAATGCATTTTAAAACGCAAATTCTATAATAAATGAATAAAATGTATTTTAATTCAATATAAATGTTAATTTTACTAAAATATGTTAAGTTAATATATAAATTAATTGATTTGTAGTACCTATGTAAATTTCACTGAAAAAAATATGTTTCCATAATTTGCTTACAAATTATGTCAGCGTTATATTCCTCGTGTTTACCTCGTATTAATTTTTTACATAATATTTGTGTTAATTCCTCTCACGTATTCATATTATGTTAAATTAAAATAAAAATTTAGGTAAATCATTTGGGACACGTAATATGTGTCAGTGTACTCTTTATTCAGATTTGAATTTCAAGACAGCATTATTGCTGATATTTCGCTTGTTATTTGTGCAATTTCTAATTTTTTTTGCGTCTTTCTATAATTTACAAAGGCACATCAATAAAGTTGTTATTATTATTATTATTATTTATATTTCATTAAAAGTTGTAAGTTATAATTTCTGCATCACGTATTACAAAGGATTAATCTCATCAAACTTTTAGACTGCTGATTGTTCCCAGAATAATATCGTTCCCTCCCCCGTTTCTCCCACCTAATTCCCGCAATTAAAGGATCGCAATTTCAATGCGATTAGAACGTTTGCTTATGTTTCGATGTAACATGTCAGGCGAGTGACAGCTTGCTCAGGGTAACGACACCTCTCGCCCTAACCCTAGCCTGTTTCTATCGCCGGGTTCCCCCTCGGGAATTTTCGTGGGTGTCACGACGTGACCCGTGGCAGGACGTGATTGAGTTTGCAGCGACATCGCCCCGGGGGCGACGGCGGTTTCGGGACGAGGGCCGAAGGGGTGATCGGCCGCGAGTAATGAGAAAGAGTCAATCGCCCCGACGTTGTCCAGGAGAGAAATTCAGCCTGCGATGCATTAGCGGTACTACATCGTCCCGAGGGAATTCTTCCCTGGAGCATCTGGTTGCCTCGGGAATCGCGTTTATCCTCTCTTCCTCTTGTTCCCCTCGAGAAACGAGTCTAGAATTGTTTCTGACTGCGATCCATCGATTAATCGTTGTGAAATACGCACGATGCTGATCCTTCTATCTCAATATCAATGTACAATAAAATAATAATCATATCTCACGTTTTCAAGTATTGTTACACGCAATTTTAGATTTATTGTTTGCTATATCAATATGTTGACGCTGGCGGAGATAACTGCAGATTGTGATTTGTATGTATTACGGAATCATGTTACACAATAAAGAATTATGTAATATATACGAGTATTCATCAAACACTAAAAATAAAATAGACTTCAAAATTAAAATCATATAATAAAAAAAAAGAAAAAAATTCAGTTATAAGAATTAACAATTGCGCGATGTCGTTGAACTTGATTATATCCGACACCCGAAGAAAAAGTTGTTTCGATTTAAAGAAATTATGTTCAAGTCCAAGAAATGAGGTTCAAATCATGATTTCTTGGATAATTTTAAATCTTTTTTCAGAAACAACCTTTCCTCCGGATGTGACGATCACCAATCGCGTGATTAAAACTTATCGATGTCCATCTGGAATGCCTGCGGCAGTTATCTTCGATACCGACAAATAAATCAGCGTTATAATCCAGATAGCGATCATCCTTTCAGGCAACGGAAATCGGACATCGATAATTTGAAGTACTTTGACCTTACCTGCCAGTCTTCGTGATGATCATCTCCGTGCCGAGCTCGTTGAATTTATCCCAGAGATCCTTGGTTTCGAGGTGGCACACCACATGCCTGAGCTCCTCGCAATTCGAGCGTTCTTGGAGCAGAGGATTCGTCACCGGCGAAACGCCGTTTCCACTCGTGCTTCCGGTATCGTCCGTTTCCGGCTCGTCCTCCGGATTGATCGTCTCCAAGACTGGCGGGGCACCTCGAGCGACCCCGGAACCGCTGGCTTCCCTTTCTGCAATCCATGTTTTCACAATGTTCGGTATAAGTATTAATATCGTGCGCGACATCAAAAAAATTATAATGTATATCTATAAGCTCTGTAATGCTATACTCGTATAATACCGAATTATCCTCTATAGAACGTACTCGTCGCCGCGTCATTACTATGAATTATTATTATCCACCTCGTGCAGGTTTTTATTCGCCATCAGCGCGCCGCTGTACACGGGTACATAACCGGAAACGACCGCGAGAGGGAAACCGCTTCCGGCACGATCCGATATAAAAATCGAGGATCGCTGAAGCGTAGTAAAACCTCATTGCAAGCGAAGGCAGTCGGGCTTAAGGACCGGCATTTATCACTGCCGTGTCATTGACGCTCGTTTTTACCCGTTCAGAAGTCACTAAAATAGCAAACGGCGAACAGGAGTTACCGTGAATGAATCGCGCTCGATGAATATTTAAGAGCCGTTCAATTACAGTTATATTTCGCCCCGTTCATTCTCCGTTTCGCGACGATATTTTTCTTGCGTACTGGCGATACTTTCGCCGCTTCGCGCGGCGAGCGAAATTAAAAACGAGACTCTGTCGATTCGTAATTTACGAGAGGGCCGCCCATTACCGCAAATCGTTATTAATTTCGTCCGAAGGAGCCGACATATTGCGATAACTCGATTCTAAATTACGCATGTACAAGCCTCGACACCGATTAATACCTATCTCTGTACAACGCTTTTATGCTGCGCCGCATCCTACTTGCCACTCCGCGAGCCTGCGAAATGTTTTTCGACCCTTCTCGCAAGAAAACTCTCGCATTTACATATATGTGCGGACGTTAATGAAAAATCGCTTTCGTGACACGCAATTATTTATCGTTTATTCGACAACTTTATTAACGGAATAATGAAGAAAGGGAGTGTCCTTGATTAAGATTTTAATCGAAAATTGAAGCTGAAAATGGTAAATCGAAACGAATTGAAACGATGCCCGTCCTGTTTGGATTTCGTATCGCGAGAATTGAATACGTAATATGAAGTTGAGACATAATATGAAGTTATAATATTAAAGAGCTTAAATAAAAACTGCAATATCAATAATGATGCGATATACGTAAACGTTTTATCTACTTTAATTAATCCGGTTTAAATTCTTGTTTTCACTATTAAATAAATCTCAAGATATCATCGGACAATTTTTATTGTGCAGCGCGGAAGTAAGATCGTATCGCAGTTGTGTCAAAGCACTTGGAAGTATACGGCACGAGAGGCATAAAGTTCTGAGAAAATCACGTTGATTAAAACAGCTCACTTGATTAATACCGCAAATTAACTCGGAGACGCCGCGTCTCATTGAGGCATTTTATTTCGCGTAGATCGTGCTAATCTCTCGCGTTTATACGCGTAAATGTTTACGTATATGCCGATTTAACGTAGCGTTGTGCACACATTATGGTTACACGCCGTTCAATCATATCGACGTAAATCTAAGCGTAATCCATTTGGCGGTGGTTATAGGTATCCGGCTATCGATGATAATATATCGTCGGTCTGGCGATAAGCAGATTCCTTCGACGGTTCGGCATCGCGATCGATTATAAATAACGCTGCGAACGTTCCGCGCGAGAAAAGCCAGCTTTACAATTATATTACGCAGATTGTTTCCGATTTTAATGACGCAAGGAAAAAGTAATCGGCTGATAAAGCGATGTATTGCCGTCGTGCGGTGATTAATCGTTGCGCCACGACGCAACGGGCGACAGGAAGTCAAGCTCTCTTTTTCAAGATACTTACACGCGAATTTCTACAGGATGTGATTGTACGACGCGAAGATTGAATACTCGACGCATGTGACTCGCCGATGCAAAGGGTTAATTTTGTTTTAACGACCTTCAACCATTGTTGAGATAAACATAATTGTTAAGGAATAAAACTTGAATTTTTTTAAATTACAATTGTGGCACATATAAAATTAATTTCATTCGCACACGACGAAACAGAATAAATTTTCAACATCGTGATTCGTAGTTTAAGCAACGTAAACCACATCGGTGCAAAAGTAGTCCTGGGACGATTCTTTAATAAATTCACGATTTATGCAATTTTTTTTTTTTCGTAGCTTTCCGATAAGGGCCATCTCCGCGCACGCAGTTGAGATCATAGTTATTTATATCTAACGGGAATGCGAGATCAGCATCTGCCATTTTAACAGGTCCCTTCTCCGCGTAATTCGCGGACACGTATTTACCACGTGCGCCTTCGCGTTTCCATGGTAAGAGCCATCGTTGTACTCGGGGAAACCGTAATAAACTTCGTAATGGGCAGTTACGAAGTACCGACCTGGCTAGTATGTCAGGTGCCGGCTATCAATTTTGCACGTTGATGCCGCGCGCGCGAGGAATTAATTGTCCATTCGGCATAAGGCGAAATCCGGCATCGGTATTATAGCCTCGCTTTCCCGGTTTTCTCTCTGCGAAAATCCGTAATTGATCGCCGTATACAAGCCCGCAGTATATACACTGTGCACTGTTTCTCTTTCCTTATCGGAAAATAAGCATGTAAAGAAAGAAGAAAATTTTAACGTCACTAAGATAATACGAATCGATTACAAGTCAAAAGCAGGATGGAGGCACCGCGCGAAATAGATATGTAAATTATTAGCTGCCAAATATAATTTTGTATTTTTTAAATATAGAAAGAGCGGAAGATTTTGCTGAAAGATTTAAATTTCGCAGATCTGAAAATAATTTTGTTAGACCATCAAAATAATTATGTAGGACACTTAAATTTGTTACTAAAATGTCAAAACTTTTTGCAGCATTGCTCATCATTTCTGAGACTCTCACATAATTATTTTGACAATCTAATAAAGTTATTTTGAGATCTGTATCTGGCTAAATTTTTTAATACTTCAGCAAAATCATTCTTTCGGTATGTAATACCTATATAAAGTATTGTAAATATAAATATAATTAAATATAATATATAATAAATATATATGA